CGCGCGGAGGAGCCGTTGGCGGCTGCGCGCTGAGGCGGCGCCACGGGGCGACAAATACACACGTAAACGGTAAAAAGCGGTGAAAAGAACCCCCACACCACCAGTAAAAACCTGCAGACTCTTTTTATTAAATTCTCCCATTTCATCTGTACAGAAAAAAAAATGCACATTATGTTCAGAATCTCAGTAACATCTCAAAATTACACAGCATGAACATGTAAAAACAAGAACCGGCCAGGATTTTATACACAGAAAGGAAAACAATTTACAAAAAAAAGAAAGTTAATGTCACATTTAAAAAAAAGACTAAGTTCAAAACCAGCTTTTGCTGTACAAGTGGAATTCATGGGTTTCTTTTGCACACTACGGGGGAGGCTCGCGATAGCGTCCCTACAGCCTACCAGAGATCACTAAGTACCTGTATTACATCCCCCTCTCACCCTCCCCTACAAACAAACAGCTCTAGTTTCACTGGTATTTTTTTTTCTTAAATTCAGTCCAACACAAACATTAGTCACAGTTTTTGATCGCACCCGTGTGGCACAAGGATCAAAGCAGGACCTACGGGCAAAAGTCACCCCGTGCCCTTGCCCCCCACTTGCTTGCTACATCGTGGGCGCTTTTATGCAGTAAATTCACCGAGGTGTTGTGGGCTGGGGGGTTTCAGGTGCAACCATGGCTGCCCGGGAGCGGCTCCTCCGCAAAACCCCAAGCAGGAGGATTTTGCAAAGAGGCCGGTCACCGGCCAGGGCGCAAGATCCGAGCCCCATGAGGAGCCCGAGGGGCTCCCTGCAGCGCAAGCCCCGTTGTGGAAACCTCGCTTGAAGACCAGCATCTGGGAATTGCCCTTCAGAGGCCAAAAACCGCACGTGATAACCTATCCTCATAAAAAGCAACACTGAAACAGCTGGGAGCCCATGGAGCTATTTCCAGGGGGACAGGAGATGCTCTGATCTTGTACCGCACTCGTGCACTCACACACTCCTCAAAGCTACCTTTGGAAATCAAAGCTGCTGAAGTAAAAGAACGAAAGCAACGCTACACTCTTTGACTAAATAACAACGTTGTGTTTTAACAGAAGTCACCATCCACCTTGAACGTACTCCTGCCACACCAGGTTCAAGTGATCTCTCCGGCCTCGCAGTTTCCTCCCTGTTGTACCCACGCACACTAAGTCTCCGTGCTGAGACTTGAGACCTCTCCACTCTCTGCGCACATGTTTACTGTGGATTCTTTCAGAGACAGATGATTGCATTTGTGGGGATTTCTAAACACCACATTTGGGGCAAAATGCTTACATGATTTTGTCAGAGAATTATTCGAACTTAAAGAGGGCTTTTCAGGCCCTTTCCAGCAATGCAGACACAGGGGTACCCAACTCGCAGACTTGCTGGACATTACGGGACAAGTGAAAAACATTGTTCCTATCTACATCAGTTATGACCGCCTGATGACACAAGCAAGGCAAGGGGAATCCAAAGTCAGAAGAAAGTCAAAAGGACTCGATTTAATCTTCTAGATAAACTATAAGTGTTTTTTTTTTCCTTAAAGGCAACGAGAATGAACACTAAAGGGCTCGCCAGACTGAAGGAGGGGTGCACATGATGCACAACCCCCCTTGTCCATGTTACCTAAACACATGCTGCCAACTGGGGAACGCAAGCTATCTCGTTAGCCGTTGCAGCAGGAGGGAGGAGAGCGGCATGCCACGCTACTTAGCAGTCATCTACCCTTTCCACGTATTTCCAGGAGCATCAGCATAACTGTATCTAGCATAAGCTCTCAAACAGAAGGCGTTGCTACGACAAGGAGAGTCATGCAGGACATGGTGGAACTCAGCCTTCTCCACTAAGAGTTGAGGGTCACGAGCAGGAAAGCAGACCAGAAGCTTTGCTTCAGCTCCTTTACGGGTTGACATAGCCATTTCTAGTGCTTTCAATTAAATTACAAAAGCTAAAAAAGGCTTCCTTAAATTAAAGGCAGCAGCAATGTTTCTTACCACCTGCATTTCTTTCTCTGCAACGGAAAGTGGTTGCCTGCAGGGAAGATGTTGTGTTGGCAACAGCACAAGCAGGTTATTTTTGGAACAACACTTGTATGAGTCTCTCTCTTTTTCGGGGGTGTGCATGTGTGTGTGCTTTTGAGGCCTCTAAGATGCTTAGGTATATGTGAAAAGCAGGAAAGCCAGTAAGAAACACTGCAGACTGGAGCCTCCTAACGCAGTTCTCCAGGCACTGCTGCTCGCTCCATGGGTGAAGCTCTGCTTAGCAGTCTCCTTAGCAGCACCGATGCTCTGCTAGGAAGAAAGTCTCCGCAAAAAGTCACGGAGCAGGGACTGCAACTCCAGGCAGTTAAGGACCAAGAACACTTGAGTGTGCCCGGGAGTGCACGGGCTTGCACATGCTGGTTAGAAGTAGCCACATGCTCCAAGGAATAACGTACTCTAAGACTCTAAACCCTTTGGGGCACTGCTCTTACTGGTCTGACTAATGCATTTAAGTGTCATGCCAAAATACATTACTGCACATCTCCAAAACCAACAACAACACAGGAGACTTGCTTCCTACAGCTGAACCTCCTTCCAAATTAAAAAGCAAATAACCAGAGGCAAGTAAAAACAGCAGTTGCTTTCCTAAACACGGATTTACGTTCAGAACTACGGCTACAAACTCACAATGCTTCACCGCGGTGCCATTTGGAATTTATGGGGGAAAACCCCCGCTATTCCTAGACAACACACCGCCTAACGAGGCATCCGGGCTCATCACCTTATGAACCGCCCCCGCTGCTCGGAGGGGCACACTGGTTGTGCCCCACGGACGCTCCAAAAGCAGGGCTGGTGCCACACAAGCAAGAGCGAGGTGCACAGGAGCCTTTTCCCCTCCCTGTGGCTCCAGTAACACGCTCCCCATCTCTGCGCACCTGGACTTTCCTAACTGCCAGCCAAGTGTCACACACCGGTTCTGCCTCAAGAGATGTCACCAGCCAGACCTTTCTTCTTCCAGTTCATGGTTACAGAGAGCCAGTTAACCTGTATTAGCACCAGGGAACAGAGCTGAGAGAAGGAACCAAGGCCTAATTTCTTTTCTACTCCCCATTATTGGGATCCTACCATATGCACCATCTCTCTGCTGAACGTTCATTGCTCAGACTCTCCCTATTGCTTGCCCTGCGTTCAAAATGCTTTCATTCAAAACCAGAAGAGCTCATGAAAGACCACCATTATCAGCCTACAACTCCATCACTCAGTTTGCTGTCCATGCTCAGAGCGGAACGACAAAGACATGTTTGCAAACAACTTTGCCCACCTTTCTAGCACTTCATAAAGGCAGCAAAAGCCATCACGGTATTTCGTATGCACAACATTCTGACCTCACAGCATCATTCAAACCAGCTGGTCCACATCCAAAGTGTCTCAGATCATCTGCACTGTTCCCCTAGAGAACAGCACAGGGGATTGGAAATGTGAGGTCTTACCTAGCAATGCGCTAGAGTGGAAAAGAAAAATCACACTGCAAGCTTCAGCCTAAGGTTGGCAGCTTCGGGCACATGATTTTCCCTGTGGCACACACAGGAGAGCACATCTAAAAGGCTGATAAAGCACGTCCTGTGGTACAGTCAACTCTCACTCCTGGGTTTCAGCAACACACTTGCCCTAACTCCTCGGTTTCAACCACAGCACACGACCAACGACCTGCCCTCCTCCTGCGTGCGGACGGAAGGCGGCGGTAAGGAGCTTTCACAGAGAAAAGCGTAGCTTTTTCAAGACACCTTCTCTGGGTTTTCAGATGTGAGTATCAGGTTCTGGAAGCGTGGCTATAGACAGCCTGAGCATGCACGCTGGTGGTGACAACACAAAAGCTGTTTTCCCTTGAAGATCCGGATGCTTCTGCCCTTCGTGCAGCACTGTCATCCCCCCTTCTCCTCTCCTGCTTGCTATCCTGGACCAGCACCCGTGTCCTACATCCCAGGAAATGCCAGTTTCAGCCTTAATCAACAGTACTTGTGGGAACTAAAAGTATTCCTCAGTGCTTCCGCTGAAAAAAATGAGGACCCAGACAGGTCGGAAAAACCACTGCACTAACCCCAATAACCATTTTACAGTTAGAGCTGTTGGCCGTTCAGTCGCATCGCACACCTCTGGCAAAGCACCTCCCTGCCAGTATGTCAAATACCACCAAATACCACCTGCAGATCATTAATTCAGGGGAGTAATAGCTCAGCAGCAGCAAAGTAAAATAAATGGAGTGTTATTTTTTTTTTCCCTCGCATCATCACTGATAAAGTTGTCCGAGTAACTGTTCAGGGCACCTCCTGCCACTGACAGCAGCACTGTACACTTCTGACAGGCTCTATACGCCTTGTGTCTACAGCATGTCTTTAATCTACTGAAATACAAGTTGTACAGCTCACATGGTATTTGATCCTGGTCAATGTTTTATTCTATCTTGCGAGTGGTAGAGGAAGAAAGGGAGGACATCTTTTCAGCCAAAAAATAAATCCACAGTAACAAAAG